TGTCCCTCTGCTGCCAGAAAAAGTGAGAACTGACCCCAAAAGGGCTTTTTTTTTTGTAATGGGGCACTAATTAAGCTTGTAAGAGCAGATGCCTGTTGCTTTGCCACTGGAAATGTGCTGCTCTCCTCCAGAAAAGCTCCTTCCCCAGTCAGACTCTGGATAATAATTACTGGGATTGGTCCTGGCTGAGCAGGAGGAGGAGGAGGAGGTCAAAGGTTGTTGGATGCTGGAGAATGAAGCAGTTCAGGCTCCTGCTGTAGAACCACCCTTTTGGTTCCAGCGAGTGGTTTCCTATAAAAGAAAGTGAAAATGTTTTAATTTGGGGAATTATTTGCTCTGGACAGTTGCACAACTCCTGAGCCCGACGAGGTCAGGGCAGGGCTGGCTGTGATGCTGCTGCCTGTTGAGGGGAGTCAAGAGGAGCAGTTAGAACGTTGTCCTGTGGACCTTGGTGAAGTTCAGCCTGGGGTGCTGTGGGTGCCACACGTGCTGGGAAGGGGTGGAGGGTGTAAATCTGGGGTAACCCTGCTGGGAGTTGGAGCATTGCTGCTTGTGTCTGGAGTTCTGCAGCGGTTGCTTTGAGGGGAAATGAATTCCAGGTTGTATTTACCAACTAAAGCTTCCACTGGAGGCTTGTGGTTATGGAGACTTGGTGCCTTTCCCTTCTAAGGATGAAGACCACCTTGAACCTTCAGCCTCAGCTCCCCGTTGGCTTCTCTTACCCACTCAATGCTGGGGTTGTATGAACACGCTGCCTTGGACTGTGGGTTTCTCAGGGGGTTTCTCGTGGTGCTTAGGCCTGTTTTGGTTTGTAGCTGCTGAAAACAGCTATCCTGGCAAGTCTCATCAGTCTCCAGGGTAATCTGAGGGATCAACATGTCAAGGATTTCGTGTGATGGCAGCAGAAGGGAGTTTCTGGAGGACTCCCCTGGAGCCTCCTCCCTCTTCTGAAGCCGTTTGGTGGCTTTGCTGCAAAGCTGCTGGAGCTGGTTGCCCCAGGCAGGTGAAAGGAGCTGCCTTGAGGATGTGCAGAAGTGTTGTCCTCACCTGGGAGACAGCTCAGTGAGAAACTGGAGGTGTGCTGGGCTTGACCCTCCCTCCCTGGCAGTGGGTGGCAGTTGCAGGAATGACAAGCAGTCCTTGCTCCAGCCCTAACCTGGTTGCTGTCCTTCTCCACGAAATCCTGAACTGCTCCTAACTGAGCTGGTGCATCAGGATGTCTGCAAGTTGATTTTTGTTGTGGCTGTGTGTGGTTCCTGAAGGGTACAGGGGGTCCTGCCCTGTAATGACAGCTCCTGGGGGGAAGGAGAAACATCTAGCCTACATCTGTGATGCCAGAGAGAGAGGTGTGGAGAGGAAAGGAGGATGAGTGTGATGGGGCTTGTTGGGAGGCCTGGAGTGAGTGTTTCAGTGGGTCCAGCTAGGACACTCAACTCTGGGTGCCTTCTGCAAGCAGACTTTGAAGCTTCCCTGCCCATAACTAAGGTCTTGAAGCCCATGGGTATGACTGAGGGTGGCAGGGCAGATGAGCTCCTGTGAGCTCTTTCACTGTGGTTTAGTTAGACTTTGGGGTTAGGGACAATTGCCTTGCCTTGGGTTTGCTGGTGGGAGGTTCTGCATCTTCTTATCTCAACACAGGTCCAGGAGGAGCAGCTGGGGTGCTGGAAAGTCACAACTAACCTGTTGGACTTGACCCTACACTCCCCTTCTGTGGTGGGTACGTGGGTGGGTACCACACCACACGTGCTGTTTGTCTGAGGAGCTGCTTTAGCTGAAACCAGCCAAGCAGAGAAGAAAAGGTTGTTCTGAGCTCAAGCATGGCATGGGTCATGCCTTCTCCAGCCAGCAGGACCTGACCTGCTCGCTGAAGAAATGCTGATTATTTCCTGGTAGAAGCATATTGTGTTCTGCATGTCTCTGGCCAGCAGCAGGGAGCCCAGGGTGCTTCTGTCACAGGAGTGTGCAGGCTGAACTTGGAGAAAGCATCTGTCCAGGAAGGAAAAAAACACCAACCCAAACAGACCTGAGCTTGTTTGTACATGTCAAACCAGTGACCCTTTGAGGGGATGTAGAACCAGAGACCTGCTTCTGGGAAGCCCAAAATTCCAGGGAGAAAGCAACCCTGGGCTCTTGCTGTGCTGCTGGCAGCAGGAAGGCTGGATGCTGTGTCCCCACCAGTGTCCCCAAAGCTGCTCCACCAACAGCAGGTAACCTGGTGAACCTGAAACTGTGATGTTTGGGGTTGCTTGTTGTGCCCAAGCTGAAACCAGGGCTACCAGGACACTTGTGGTTGTCAGTGTGCTCTTGCCTTATGCAACAAGGATTAATCTAAGTAGGTGGAGAAGTATTTCTTGGCTGGTTAACAAGAGGGGGGTGAGGCTCCTGGAGCAGTTTGTTGCCTTCAGATAGGTGGCAGGAGGTGGTGGTGGTGGGGGGGTGAGGACTGCACAGCTCATCCTTCACACTGTGATAACTTATCCTGGTTGAAACAGAGCTGAACCTGTTCTCAGCCCTCTGCCTCCTGCCTTCCAGCAGCCACACAGGAGATCCTGGGCTGGGCTTCTCCTTGGGCTGTGTCCACAAAGGTGCAGACCCGTGGACCTGGCTGTGCTGGGGGTGATGCCTGGGTGAGGTGGACACAACACACACTCACCACCCACCCTGGGGCATGGCAGGAGCTCCTCTGGAGTGGCTCAGAGATAGAAAACTTGGTGTTGATCCACATCCATGGAGAAAGCACCTGGATCCTCAGGAAGGGTGGAGATACTTGGGGTGAGTTCCCAGAGCACACACTGGAGCCCAGGCTGGTGGTGGGTTGCTCTGCAGGAGCACTTCTCCCCCGTGACCTTCCTGATGGGATGGTCTTTAAATCACAGCAGCTGCTTCAAAGGCATCCCAGGGTGAGATGGAGATCTCCTGGGGTCACTTCTGGAGTCTGAAGCAATGCCTTCAAGTTAAAACTAGCAGAGAGAAGGGATCAAAAACCCAACCCAACCCCAAAACCCCAGCTGGGTGGTGCTGAGTCATGCTGACAGGGCAGTGTCTGCCAGGACTTCCTCCAGGGCATCCTGAAATCCAGATCCCTGCCCAGTCCCTGGTGAGCATCTGTGGGATGTGGAGGTGCAGAGACCCACAGAGGGGCTGCAAGACCCTTTCTCCTACTCAGTGAGGGCTGAGAGCTGGGTTGAAATGGTGTTTTTAAAGCCCAAGGTAATTCAGTGAAGTCGCTGCCTCTGCAGGAGGATTTTTTGGAGCCTTTGGGATTATTCCCAGCCCTGTTCATAGGTCAGGGTGTGTTTAGTGCTCTGGAAGAAGGAGCTTTCCTTGAAGCACCTTGTTTTAGGTGATGCTTTGTCATGGACACCAGCTGGTGCTGAAATCTGAACTTCAGCTGCCTGCTGACCCAAGTTCCTTTGCAGATGTCATTCCTGTGCTTATTTTTTTTAAGGAATATTTCCTACCAATGCAATAATGTGTCAGCTTAGCCTCCAAACCAGCTTTGCTGCTTTCATGGCTTGGCATTGTTCTGTTCAAGTCCTGGATTCAGCTCTGATCTCTTCCTTGATCTCAGGAAGCGTATGGGAAAGTGCTCCCCAGCTTCTGGTAACTGGAGTGGTTTGGGGAGTGGAAAGTCCAAAGCTGGAACACTTTTATGGGCTCAGTCTTGCCTGGAAGCTGAGCTGTAGTATTACCTCCTGGCTAATCACTGGAGTGAGCTGATAAGCCCCAAGGGCTGTGTCCTGGTGAGGAGGTGTGGAGTTGACACGGGTGGCCCTTGCTTTTCCAAATCATTTGGGGGACACCTTTCTTCTGAAGGTGGGTTGTCCCAGCTCCTGGTGGAGAAGACATCCTCCCTCTCAGGCCTGAGTGACCTCTGAGTTGCAGTTCTCAAGCTTCTCCTTGAGAGCATTGATTTGATGAAGCCTGTTGCTGATCACTCATCTCCTGTGGCTGTGGCCTGACCCAGGAGCTCTCTGTTTGTGTTTCAAGGTGTGAGGCTCCTTCAGACAGGTTTTGGGGTGATGGGGTGTATCAGCCATGCTGCAGACCAGCAGCACTCGTGGTGTAGCAGAGCCCTTTAGATCTGCTGGCTCTTGGTGGGGTGGTTGTAGAGGTTTAAGCCCTGCCAGTGTCTCCTGTTGCTGGTGGGTTGTGTCCTGCAGACACCCCTCACAGGTTGGCATTGTTGTGAGTGTTGCTGGGCTGTGGTGGGGTCAGTCTGCAGAAGCCTGGAATGGGCTAAAAGGTGTAAATTTTTCCCCTGTTACCTCATTAAGTCATGGCAACGAGCTTCATAGGATGCTTTGGATGCCAGAAGCTTATCTGCCTTCAGAAATCTGTGGAAGAAAAGCCTGTCAAGGGCTGTTGAAGACAGATGTGGATGAAACCTCCTGGCTCAGGCAGTTGGTGGCTGCAGGACACCTGGAGCTGGGAGGGAAGGTGGAGCAGAGGGTGGCTGCTGGGGGACACCAGCTGGACCTTCCCTGGGTCTTCATGCAGGAGGATGGGGTGGCCTTTCCCCATCTCTGCTTCTCCAGGCTGGTGGCTCCTGCAGATTCCCCATCTCCCCAGCTTGCCCTTCTAGGAAACCTGTTTCTCAATCGAGCAGACTAACTCTGCACACCAAGTGTCACAAGCAGCTGAGCAACAGCAGGAGAAACAAGCTGGGGCAGGGAGCTGGGAGTGTTGTAAGCAAGAGGCAATTAAAGACCTAACTGTATTTCTTCACCCAGGCTTTTGAACAACTGCAGCAGCTCAGGGCCTTGTACTTTCCCTGCATAAACAAGAGCAGAGGTTACACTTCCCTCCCTTGTCTGAGCAGCCTTGTAACGTTTGGGTGTTGCAATGAGCTGCCCTGGCAGGTGGAGAGTGGTTGGGTGCAAGCAAGGACTCAACTGTTGACCCCTCTGATGATCTTGGAAGCCTTGGAAGCTCTTTGTTGACTTGTTCTTGTGGCATGACAGGTAACTGAGGGCTTTCCTTCGTGTGCTTTGTTGCAGACAAGGATGCAGAGCTTGCAGCCCGACCCCAAAGCCCAGTACAGGAGTGTGTATGAAGCTCTGAAGAAGATTGTCCTTACAGAGGGCTTCTGGAGGCCTCTCCGTGGGATTAACGTCACCATGCTGGGGGCTGGCCCTGCCCACGCCATGTACTTTGCCTGCTATGAGAAAATGAAAAAGTCTCTGAGTGATATTATCCAGCATGGAGGAAACAGCCACTTGGCCAATGGTATTTTGGGGGTTTGCACCAAAAAAAAACCAACCCAAACAACCCAACCCAAAGCTGCTTGCAGTTTGTAACACATCCCTTGCTTGCTTCACACGCTTAGCCTGGCACCCTTCACTCAGCTCTGCTCCTGGAGACCTGCTGTAGGCAGCCTGCCCCTGGAAATGTCCACCTGGCCTCTAGTTGAGCTTCCTGCTGGTCACCATGCTCCTTTTGGAACCTGCCCCCTCTCTTAGGACTGCTGGCTTGCTCGGCAGATCTCTTGCAGAGGGTAGAGTTGGCTTGCCTGGCTGCCAGAAGCAGAGTAGAGAAGCTCTTCCTGGCCTGGAAGCCCTGATGGCACAGTTGGGCACCCTCCAAAGTCATGGTCTAAATCTAGATACCTCAAATTTCGAGCCCAGGTAATCCATACAGTGGACAAGAGGCGTTCAGATGCAGTCGGAGGCTGTTTCTGGCTTTGTGTTGAAGGCTTCATCTAAACCTCCTGAGGTTTGAAGTACAGGTTGTTCCAGATGTCTCCCTTGGAGCTCCAGCATGGTAAAGTGCACTGCATCTTCTGTGTGCTTGCGTGCTTGGTTAAAGATTTGGGTTCTACCAAGAAGGCTTTGGCTTTTAGCTCCAGCCATACCCCTGGAGGAGCAGAAACCCTCTGAGTGAGCAGCCAGGGGTGTCACAAAAGGGTTTGTGCAGCAGATGCTTCTAGGGGTTTGCCATGGGGGTCACTCAACTGGACTCAACCAACTCAGTTGAGGGTGTATCCCAGCTTTTTGCTGGCAGTGTGCTTCCCAGGTTTGCCTTCCAAGCAGCCACAAGCTTTCAGTGCCAGCAGGAAAACTGACCCAAAGTCATTTGGGCGAGAGAGAATTTGAGCTGGAAACCTACATCAAAGGAGAAGGTGTGGCTGGAGAGGCCCGTCCTTGAGCCAACTGCAGAATCATTAATGGCTGGCTGGATGTTTACAGAATCCCTGCAATTAATGTTTAAAACTAGACTGAGTAAATGGATGAAAATGCCTCATTACGGCTCCGCCGAGGCGGTCCCAAAGTCATTTGGGCGAGAGAGAATTTGAGCTGGAAACCTACATCAAAGGAGAAGGTGTGGCTGGAGAGGCCCGTCCTTGAGCCAACTGCAGAATCATTAATGGCTGGCTGGATGTTTACAGAATCCCTGCAATTAATGTTTAAAACTAGACTGAGTAAATGGATGAAAATGCCTCATTACGGCTCCGCCGAGGCGGTCGGAGACGTTGCTCATCTCTCAGCCCAGCACAGGCTGAGTGAAGCTGCTCGTGGCTCATCTAGACAGAGCCTTGGGAGCTGGAGGGAATGGCCATGACCCCATGAGCAGCTCCTGGTTCCTCCCAAGCTGCTCTGGGTGGCTTTTCCCTTCCCTGGGAGTGGGAATTGTTGCTGGGCGCTCGCTGCGGAGCTGGACGGGACCCGGGTGCTGGGTGGGACCATCAGCTGCTGCCTCCTTGGGTGGCAGCACCCGGGTGCTGGGTGATACCATCAGCTGCTGCCTCCTCGGGTGGCAGTGCCCCAGCAAGCCCTGGCTGCTGCAGTGGTGGGTTTTGAATTGGAAGGTGCCTTTGTGTCTTGCAGGTGTCGCTGGGAGCGTGGCCACGCTGCTGCACGACGCGGTGATGAATCCTGCCGAAGGTAATGCCCCGTGCTGCACCCTTGGCACAGCACCCCAGGCACCCTCTGCCACCTCAGCAGCTTGAGCTCTGCTGACTCTGCCCTGGGAAGGGCTAAATTCTGCTTGGTTATTTCCCCCCTGCTTGTCAAGGGGCTGCACAAGGTCTACCTGGTGTATCGTGGCTCCCGGCAAAACTGGTGGCACCTTTCCTGGCATGAGGCTGTTACAGCTCTGCTAGTGCAAAAACAGATCCAAAGGGGTTGGGTTTTGTGTGAAATTTTGGGCTGCCCCAACAAAACTGAGCTCAGACAAGTGCAGCAGCCAGTGGGAGCATGGCCTAGATGTCCTGGGTAGGTAGAGTCTGGTGTGAAGGGCACTAAGAATGAAAAACAGCTAAAATAAAGAGAATTAGCTGCCCTGCCAGCTCTTCAGGGGTAATGTGCCAGACTTCTGAGCTGGCCCAAAGTCAGGGTTTCTTCAGAAGGAAAAAAGTCTCTAGTGTTTCCAATCCTTTTAATTGTCTCCTGATTAAATGAATTAAATTAATTGGCCTTTGGCTGAGGTCAGTGGAAGTTGTTCCATTTCAGGACTTGGGACCATAGGTGGGGTCTGTTTTGCTTCCCAGGTGACCTGCAGTTATTTCATCACCTTTCTGCCCTTGTCCTCTTGGTGTGGTGGTGCCTGTCCACAACAGCTCTGTGTCCTCACGGGTCCATCTAAGGATTCTCATTAATCTCTCTTAATGCCTTTCTAGCTAGGAGTAAAAGTTCTGTCATTAAGCTTGAGGAGTGGGTTGTCCCGTGGAAGTGGAGAGCTGTGGAACCAGGGCTGAGCTCTGACCTGCTTTCCTCACTCTCTGGGTTGTTTGAGGGCTCTGGGCAGGTTGGGGGAGGCAGAGGATGGGTGAAGCAGTTTGGTAGAAGCCTGTTGGTGAGGAGCTCATTGCTACAGAAATACCTGCTTGGTTGTTGTCCAGGGCAGTGGTGGAGTCCCCATCCCTGGAGGGGTTGCAGAGCTGTGGAGATGTGGTGCTGAGGGCCACGGGGCAGTGGTGGACTTGGTGGTGATGGGTTAACAACTGGACTTGATGACCTTAAGGTCCTTTCCAAGCTAGATGATTCCACGATTCTCGTAGCAGCTTGGACTTGGAAGGAGAGGTTGGATCTGGCTGGCTGGGTCAGGGAGTAGGGCTTGATCTAAGTGCTGGGATGACCAGGAATGCTGTTCCTTGGCTAATAAACCTCTCTCCCCCCCCCTGCCTCTGTCCTGCCCACCCTGCTGGCTGCTGGAGCAGTGGTGAAGCAGCGGATGCAGATGTTCAACTCCCCCTACAAGTCCGTCCTGGCGTGCGTGAGGACCGTGCAGAAGACAGAGGGGTTTGGTGCCTTCTACCGCAGCTACACCACCCAGCTGACCATGAACGTGCCCTTCCAGGCCATCCACTTCATCACCTACGAGTTCATGCAGGAGCAGCTCAACCCCCCCAGGGACTACAACCCTCGCCGGGGGGGGGCAGCGGGGCCCGCCGCCGCCACCACCCCCCTGGACGTCTGCAAGACCTTGCTCAACACCCAGGAGAACATGGCCTTGAGCTCTGTCAACATCAGCGGGCATCTCTCGGGTATGGTCAACGCCTTCAAGACTGTCTATCAGCTTGGGGGGGTTTCGGGGTATTTCAGGGGGGTCCAGGCACGTGTCATCTACCAGATGCCTTCGACGGCCATCGCGTGGTCGGTCTACGAGTTCTTCAAGTACTTCCTCACAAAGCACAAGCTGGAGAAGAGGACATCCTTGTGAAGGACTGGGCAGGAGGCCACGGGGGGCTCCGTGTCCTCAGCCAGCTCTGGAGGACACTGGGCTTCTGGTGGGTTCACAGCTGATGTCCACTCCTCCCTCCCAAGAGAAGGTGGGGTTCGAGTGGTCCCTCAGGGTGTTCCCCTCCTTGCTTAATTAAATCATTCATAAAGACTTATAATAATAT